ATCTCCAGCAGGAACAGGTGAAACGTCCCATTCCAGCTTTTCGGAGAGAGGCGTAGGCCGTACAGCCACGCCTTAAGTCGCCAGACCAGCTTTGTTTGCTCCTGCGAGCACGTGAACCCCTTCGGAGGTATTACGTAGATAGGTTTGTCTTTCTTGGACATCCTGGAGTTGAGAAAAGCCGTCTTCATGTCGGCCTGCCTGAGAGCTTGGCCAAAACCAGCAGCGTGGGAAACCACTAGATGGACAGATTCCATAGACGCCACCGGTGCAGCCTTATCCGCTCCCGTGTCAGCTTCGTGAAAACCTTGCACCACCACGCGACTCTTCGGGCGAACTGGCACATGTTCTTGGTTGTACTTCCACCTGTAGTGGAACCTAGTCGGAAGAAGTTGGGCGTCTTCGGGCGGAAGCACCCAGTCGAACACGTCGTGGTCGTAGAGCGACTGCTCTTCATCGTTCATGCTCGCTCTCCAGCGTGCTGCATCCGGTCCACTCATCGCTTCATCGTAGGTGGCAGGATCGGCAGGCATGTAGCCCACCTCCCCGGGACTGCCTCTCCCGAGGTTGCCGAAGTCACTTCCAGTCACCATAGCATGTTCGGTCCTCTCGTACGCCTGTTCTTTCGTAAACAGATTCAACCGTTGAGGCGCCACGGAGTTCCTGCTGCTGCGGCGAGGTGCCGGTGCTTCCGGCTCCGATTCGTCGGATGATTCTTCGTTATTTTCTTCTTCTTCTTCGATAGAGTCTACCAGACCAGGCCGATAGAATGTTGAGTTAGGCGCGGGGAGAAAATCTTGCCCTAGTTTGGGCTTGATCACGTCGCGCATCTCCTTCTCACGGAACGATACCTCCACGGAGTTGGTGATTTTGAGAGGCTCCGAAGGGTCCCAAAGTCGATACGACCTACCCTTGGAGTTGTAGCCTACTAGGTACATTTTCTTGGCCCTGGCCGCCAACTTGTTCGACCGGGCGCGTACCTCTTCGTGCTTAAAAGCCAGTGACCCCCACTCGTGGATGTGAAGCATCTTTCCGAGCGGCTTCCCCTCCCATACCTCGAGTGGTGCCTTGCCGCCCAGGACTTCGGTCGGGGTCCGATTCTTGAGGTAGATTGCAGTCATGAAAGCCTCCCCCCACAGCTGTTGAGGAAGGTGCGGTGCTCCCAAGAGAAGCTTGCGGGCAGTGCCGATGATGGTACCAAATCCACGCTCGGCGATGGGGTTCCCTTNCGGCTTCTGCTGGTTACGTCGGACTGTCCGGAAGGATACTCGAGCCCGGCTTCGCAGGTATATTGCAGTCATGAAATCCTCCCCCCACAGCTGTTGATGAAGGTGCGGTGCTCCCAAGAGAAGCTTGCGGGCAGTGCCGATGATGGTACCAAATCCACGCTCGGCGATGGGGTTCCCTTGCGGGACATAGGGGGGGCTATTCGTGAGCTTGATTCCGAGCGACTTACATAGCGCCAGAAACTTGCCCAAATACTCCGCTCCCCCGTCGCAGTGCACCGTGCCGATGCTCTGACCAAGCGGGTCGGCCTCGTCCCGAACCAGAGTTTGAAGAGCTTCGGCCGTTTCGTCTTTCGTCTTGAGTAGGTAGCCGAACCTCATGCGAGTAGCGTNATGGCTGCCCTTCTTACTGTCACCATCCGCACAAACACCGCAGTCACCTGGTTCGATGTTGCGATTGAACCTGATTCCGGTAGTGTCCTTGTCCGCCAGCTGCTGCAGCGCTCGCGAGTTGCAGT